CACCGGGGGGGGGGGGGGGCAGACGTTATCGGTTCTAGAAGCGAATCTGAGACATCCCCCACACGACACCAAACACAAGAATCACGCTGCACCACCAAACCGCACAGCATCACACAAACATAAACAATCCACAACCACGCACGCTACTGCAGCCGGTTTCGAAGACTGAGAGAGAGGGAGGGGGAGAGATAACCAGTCGAAGAGTGCATTACAGCCCTCGCCCCCCCTCCCCCCCCTTTGGGCCTCGTCCTTCGAAACCTCCAGTAAACCCCAACAGGAACAGAGTATTAGGGCCGCTCCCGAAGGCCTCGCCCCTCCCCCCTACCCCCCTACCGACGGCAAATATTCGGACGGCTCCCGCATGCTACGTTAGGGCACGAATCGTCTTTCAAGATAGCCGTCCCTGCAACGGAGTGAGATATTATCGCCTCCGGGCCGATGGCCGGAGTGGGATATTGAGCGGACCGCTAGCACCACAACACACCGTTTCTACCGCTACTTGTAGGCTGCAGCTGCACGACAGTCTCCCCCGAGACTTGCGTTAGGCCTCTTGGGGTCGGCCTCACGATGCTTGCATACCAAAACCGACAAACCTATCTCTCTCTCTATGTGTCTCTTTCTTCACTTGTTCTTATATCGCTCTGTCTCTCTCCCTCTCTCTCGCTGTGTTCTTTCTCTGAATACCCTTCGTCTGTATCGCTATCTGCCTCCTTTCTGCGTTCTCTCTCTTTTGTCTCTCTGCCAGTACCCCCTGCACGGTCTCACGATCGTATGACACAAGTAAAATAAACATCCAAGTTGTACGTTAAAAACATAGGTCCGCTCGATGGACCACCCACCGGCGTCCCACAAAAAAACAAAAAAAAAAACAGACGCAAAAAAATCTGGCCCACCCACTCCCAAACCACATCGTCCGACGGACCCACACAGCTATCGGCCAGGGCCGCCGGCGGTAATGCGGTCTGTGGGGTTGCCGACAGACCCTCCCCAGCTTGGGGGGGGCATCGACGCACGCGGGGGTAGGGAGCTGGGCATCATGCCCGACAGACAACAAAATCAAACCAACAAACATACTTTCTATGTACGAGTGACGGCGGGCGCGTTCGCGGAGCCCCCCCGCGTCCGGCTTGGTCCCCCTCTTTTGACCCCCCCGC